CTGCTGCTGCTGCTGCTGGCGCTGACCACCACCGGAGCCGACCCTCTGCCCAGCGCCACCCCGACCAGCTCCACCTCCTCCGCCGCCGCCTCCGCCACCGCCGCCACCTCCGCCACCTCCGCTCCCACCGCCACCGCCGCCGCCGCCTCCGCCTCCACTGCCGCCACCGACACCTCCACCCCCGCCACCACTCCCACCACCACCCCCACCCCCTCCACTGCCACCACCGCCACCTCCGCCACCCCCGCCAGCCCCTCCAGCACCCTTGCCCCCCTTGCCCTTGCCGGTGCGGCGTCTCCCGCTCGGGGCAGACGCAGCGCCGACCGACTCGAGACCAACGAGGTCGGCCGCAGCAGCAGAGGCAACAGAGGGCAAAAGGGGGGAGGGGGAACACCCCTCAAAGACGGGGGTGCGAGGGTCACCACGAGAGGCTCCTACAGCGACTATGCTCTTCTCTGCTGCTAGGAGGGCCTTCTCGAGGAGGTCAACGGTGAGAGTGGTGGGGCAAAATGAGAGGAAGTGGTCCCTGAATACGCGAAGGGAGTCAGGGAGCCGGGTGACTATGTAGTAGAGGGTGATGTACATGGGGGGGGGGTTCTTGGCGCAGAACTCAGCAGGAAGCGCAGCGCGGTAGCGAGTGTCACTAGTGCGGAGGTGCGTAATGAGGGCAGCGACTGTGGGAAAGGCAGCAAGGTCAGGGAAGAGGTACGGTAGCATGAGGCGGCTCAGTGCAGCAGTGGCAGGGGAGGAGTAGCGCGCAACTACAGCGTCGTACAAGGTGTGAGCACTCTGGTACTGGCTAAAGTGCGCACGCTCAGAGGTAGGCAGGTGACGACGCACAGCTAGACATGCAGCAGCATCGCGTGTGGCCCACTGTGAGCGAACAGTGGCGTCGGCATCAGCAGCAGGGGCAGGAGAGGCACCAGAGGTGAGATCAAAGAGGGAGAGACCGTCTGCCCTATCGCACTGTAAGAAAAGCAGCAGGTCATCTACCCAGACGTCAAAGTCAATGGCCCGACCCTCAGCGTCAAAGGCGAGGACACTAGGGGTAGCCATGACAGCAGTAGACTAGCAGTGCGAACAGTAGGGTAAGGGCAGTGCAGTGATAGAGGCGCTGCTCTTACCGGACAGGGCGGCTCGGGCGGCTCGGCAGGACGGCGGGTCGGCGACACGGCGGCTCGAGCGGCTCGGCGGCTCGGGCGGCTCGGGCGGCTCGGCAACTCGGCGGCCCGGGCGGTTCGGCGGTCGGCTGCTGGGCGGCTCGGCGGCTCGGCGGCTCGGCTGCTCGGCTGCAGGACGGCTCGGCGGCTCGGGTGCTCGGCTGCTGGGCGGCTCGGCGGCTGGTGTGGTTGGTGACGACCGCGGCAGCAGTCGCAGAAGCTGTGGCGACTGCTGCTGCAGAGACGGCTGCGGCTGCTGCCTCAGGGACGGCGGCTGCCGGCCGCTAGGGGCCGCGAAGAGCGGCGGAGAGGCCGTGAAGGGCGCCACGAGGGGCCGTCGAGGGCGGCGACAGGCCGTGAGGAGGCCGCGGAAGGCGGCTCGAGGGGCCGCGAGGGGGCCGTAAGGGGCCGACTGGCGACGGGAGGGGCCGAAGGGGCCGCGGGAGGGCCCGTAAGGGTAGCGCGAGGGGCCGTAAGGGCGGCACGAGGGGCCGTAAGGGCGGCACGAGGGGCCGTGAGGGCGGCGCGACGGGCGCGACGGGCCGTAAGGACGGCGCGACGGTCCGTAAGGGCGGCACGAGGGGCCGTGAGGGCGGCGCGACGGGCGCGACGGGCCGTAAGGGCGGCGCGACGGGCCGTAAGGGCGGCACGAGGGGCCGTGAGGGCGGCGCGACGGGCGCGACGGGCCGTAAGGGCGGCGCGACGGGCCGTAAGGGCAGCGCGACGAGCCGTAAGGGCGGCGCTAGGGAGCCGTGAGAGGGCCGCTAAGGGCGACGCGACGGGGCCGTGAGGGGCCTAGCGAGGGCGCGACGGTAGGGAGAGCACACAGGGCGCGACTCGGGCCGGAGCGAAGCGCGCTCCGGGCAGGAAAAAAAAAAATCGTGGTGGTGGGCCCTAGGAATCGTTCCCACTAGGGAACCTGCTCGATACCATGAGAAGAAACGAGGAATGAATAATGACTAAGGGAAAGTTGGGTACAAATGTAAACCCTAGAAAACTGTACCCCATATGTGCTACCCCACTATAGCCTACAGTAGCTATGTCATATAGATCTGACACACTCGAGCAATTATCGTGCAATTGTAGGACCACGCGAGCAAATTGAGGCCACGTGTGCAACGCTGAATCTCCAAACATGGGTTTGGAGCAATTCTCTCACGAAACTAGCTTACGAAACGCGAAGGCACTGCAAGACTCGGAAGTAACCGGCGCAATGCGTGCGTGGCGTCCCACGACGAACATGGCGACTCGGCGCGATTTGAATTTCATTCGATGCATTTCTGTCCCGTCCCTCCCGACAACTCTCCGCATCTGCCCCCAAGAAAACACATGATTCAACGCCTCCCCTTCCCCTAAGCAGCTTTGGCTTGCTTGACTTCAAATATCTCCCCTGCGCACACCCTTCCCCGCGGTATCTTCCCGCTCCCTCTCCTCTCAATCCAGAATCTGTATTTTAGGTCAAGCCTGGTTGTCCCGAAAATTCCAAGCTTGTTTTCGTCCACAGCTATCCAGGTAGCCAGTTGCGTCAAAGCATGAATTTCACCAGCTTTTGTGCCTCTCGTTTGTGAAATTATCAAATTTTAGCCAGTAATAGCAATAGCGATTCTCGTCAATTTCTCTTCTTATTTACCACTCGTCAGCTACTAGTACTACCGACGACGCGTCACCAGCGCCGATGGCGGCCGGAAAACCTCCCCTTTTCGCGGCTCTTCTCCTCTCCTGCCTTCTCTCTCTTGCTCCAGTTCGCGCGCTCAATATGGACTGCGCAAACGAGGCCCTCGAGGGAGACCGTTGCAGTCCTGAGCTTCTGTAACGGCAACGGGTGGCGTCGCACATGTCTCTACGGCGGCGGCTATGCCACGGACGGCTCGGGAGAGTGCACGCTCGTTCAGGCCGGCGCGCTTTACTGTGAGGACTGCGGGGGAACCTGCGCAAGCTCTCGCATTGCTGCGATATAGACCTCTCCGGTTACGAGTTAAGCGGCTACGACCAGGCCAGCACATACGATATCGAGTTGGGGATTAGTTCCCTGCAGTGCCCGGGGAATTCCGGCTCCGCTGATTTTGGTTACCCGCAGTGTAACGGGGGAGGATTCGATGGGATTACTGCTGACATGTCAAATAGATATGCCTATAAGCCGAGTTATGATTACTGCCCTGATACCCGCGAAAGGGGATTCCGCACAATGGAGCCACGCGCGCGCAGCAGCAGCGGAGTGGAGTTGCGCGAGTTCGAGCCCCCGTGGGAGGAATCCGTAGCTGCAGCAGAAGATATCCGTGCGGACCCGTCGCAGCCAATTGCTCCCTTCGGCGACGGCGCACTGACGGGTGGAAATACGAAGATGAGCCGCCGTCTGTGGGGAAGCGGGCGCCTCTGGTCTCCCCCTAAGATGTACAGCCGCCGCTTGTATGGAAGCGGGAGGCAGTGGTACCCGTAATAAGCATATTCGACACCCGTAGATGTAACAGATTAAATGAGAAGGAGCTTCGGCAGAGCTTGCAGTGACGTCAAGGGAAACATGGTAAGACATCATAGGATGGGATTCTCTTGAGGGGTTAGTGCAGTGGAAATGCAATGTTTTGTTTTTTATATGCAGATAGCGTTTGGTCGGGATTTTCATATTGGGAATTGTCAGTTCAGCCATTCCGCGTAGCTGTTGTCAAACATATATGCCTAGTTATATCTAGGCTTAGTTTATGTGTTTATAGTTGTCTAGGCTATAGTGGGTTTAGCCTTAGGGGGTACAAAGTTTCTCTCGACATTCTACTTGTACCCCTTCCCCTTTTCCTAGTCAATCATTCTCGCCTAAGATTCTAACATGGTATTAAGAGCAATTAGTCCTAGGACCTAATGCTAATGGGCCCACCACCTACTGCCCTGCTAGCCTAGGCCCCGGCCCGTCGCCCCTTGGCGTCGCCCCTAGCCCCTAGGCTCGGCCCCTTGGCCCCGTTGCCTCGGCCCCGCTGGCCCCGTCGACTTCGTCGCCCGCGCCCGGCCCGTACCTAGCCCGTCGCCCGGCCCGTACCTAGCCCGTCGCCCGGCCCGTACCTAGCCCGTCGCACGGCCCGTACCTAGCCCGACGCCCGGCCCGTACCTAGCCCGTCGCCCGGCCCGTACCTAGCCCGCGCTCGGCCCCGTCTCCTGCCCGCGCCCGGCCCGTACCTAGCCCATCGCCCGGCCCGTACCTAGCCCGTCGCCCGGCCCGTACCTAGCCCGTCGCCCGGCCCCGTTTCCTGCCCGCGCCCGGCCCGTACCTAGCCCGACGCCCGGCCCGTACCTAGCCCGTCGCCCGGCCCGTACCTAGCCTCGCGCCCGGCCCGTACCTCGCCCGCGCCTGGCCCCGTACCTAGCCCGCGCCCGGCCCATACCAAGCCCGCGCCTGGCCCCGTCCTTCGCCCAGCGCCCGGCCCCGTCTCTTGCCCGCGCCCGGCCCCGTACCTAGCCCCGCGCCCGGCCCCATTCCGCGCCCAGCGCCCGGCCCCGTACCTGCCCAGCGCCCGGCCCCGTACCTGCCCAGCGCCCGGCCCCGTACCTGCCCAGCGCCAGGCCCCGTACCTGCCCAGCGCCCGGCCCCATACCTGCCCAGCGACCGGCCCAGTACCTGCCCAGCACCTGGCCCCGTACCTGCCCAGCGCCCGGCCCAGTCCCTGCCCAGCGCCTGGCCCCATTCCTGCCCAGCGCCCGGCCACGTACCTGCCCAGCGCCCGGCCCAGTCCCTGCTCAGCGCCTGGCCCCGTACCTGCCCAGCGGCCGGCCCCGTACCTGCCCAGCGCCCGGCCCCGTTCCTGCCCAGCGCCCGGCCCCGTACCTGCCCAGCGCCCGGCCCCGTCGCCCCTAGCCATGGCTCCGTCGCCCCTAGCCATGGCCCCTCGCGACCTGCCGCCCCTAACCGCGGCCCGGGTGCCCTGTTGCGCCATGGTGGGTGAGGGGGTGGCAAGAGGGGGTTCCTCCTGCCCGCGTGCCCTTCAGTCGCACGCGCAGCTCCGCCCCCGCCCCCCTCCCCCCCCTCCCCCCCCTCCATGGGGATGGCGGGGAGAGGGGGAGGAAACTTGGAGGTTCAGGGGGAGGCAGGAGGGGATCTGCAGCACCAGGTCCCCCACCTTTCTCCTACCTCCCCCTGCTGCGGGAGCAGCAAAGGGGGGGAGGGGACCTGCAGCACCTGCCCCCCCCCCCCCCCCCCCCCGCCCCCCCCCTTCTCCTCCATCTCTCTGCTGCGGGTGCAGCAGTTGGGGGGAGGGTATGGGGGTGGCGGGTGTGGCCAACCTGCTGTCGCCCGAGCGGCTCCTGCACCGCCCCCTTTCTCCTACCTCCCCCCTGCTGCGGGTGCAGCAGTGGGGGGGGAGGGGATCTGCGGCACCAGCCCCCCCCCCCCCCCCCCCCCCCCCCTCCATGGGGATGGCGGGGAGAGGGGGGGGAGCTTGGAGGTTCAGGGGGAGGCAGGAGGGGATCTGCAGCACCAGGTCCCCCACCCTTCTCCTACCTCCCCCTGCTGCGGGTACAGCAGTGGGGGGGAGGGGATTTGCCATCCCCCTGCTGCGGATGCGGCAGTGGGGGGAGGGGACCTGCAGCACCAGCCCCCCCCCCCCCCCTCCTCTCCGCCCTTTTCTCCTCTCCCTCCCCCTGCTGCGGGTGCCGCAGTGGGGGGGAAGGGATCTGCCATCCCCCTGCTGCGGATGCAGCAGTTGGGGGAGGGGACCTGCAGCACCAGCCCCCCCCCCCCCGCCCCCCGCCCCCCCCCTTCTCCTCCACCCTTGCTGCGGGTGCAGCAGTGGGGGGAGGGGATCTGCATCAGCAGTGGGGGGAGGGGACCTGCAGCACCAGCCCCCCCCCCCCCGCCCCCCCCCCCCCCCCCCCCCCCTTCTCCTCCACCCTTGCTGCGGGTGCAGCAGTGGGGGGAGGGGATCTGCATCAGCAGTGGGGGGAGGGGATTTGCAGCATCAGCCCCCCCCCCCCCCTCTCCGCCCTTTTCTCCTCTCTCTCTCCCTGCCGCACCCTGTGTTGGGAGGGGGGGGAGCTTGGAGGTGCAGTGGGGGGGAGGGGATCTGCAGCTACAGCCCCCCCCGCCCCCCCCCCCCCCTTTTTTTTCTCCTCCTCCCCTGCTGCGGTTGCAGCAGTGGGGGGAGGGGATCTGCAGCAGCAGTGGGGGGAGGGGAGTTGCAGCATCAGCCACCCCCCCCTTTTCTCCTCCACCCCTGCTGCGGGTGCAGCGGTGGGGGGAGGGGATCTGCAGCCCTGTGCTGCCCTGCAGCCCTGCGCGCCCTATGCGCCCTGCTGTCCTGCTGCCCTGCAGCCCTGTGCGCCCTACTGCCCTGCTGCTGCCGCTACAGCCCTTGCTGCTGCCCTGCGCGCCGCGTGCGCCCTGCAGCCCTGCTGCGCCCTGCGCGCCCTGCTGCCCTGCTGCCCTGTGCGCGCCCTGCTGCCCTCTGCACGCGCCATGCACAGCCCCCCCCCCCACCCCCCCCCCCCCCCGCCCCAACCCCCCCCCCCCCCCCCCTCCCTTCTTCTTCCTTCCCCTGCTGCAGGTGCAGCAGTGGGGTGGGGGTATGGGGGTGGCGGGTGTGGGTGCAACTGCGGGGTGGCGGGTATGGGGGTGGCGGGTGTGTGAACCATCCCCTCCTCCTCCTCCACCTTCGTCTCCCACTGCTGCAGCTGCCGCTGAGGGGGGTGGGTGTGTGGGAGCCGAGGGAGTGGTGCTAGGGGGGTGACGTGGGAGTGGAGCTAGGGGTGCAGCAAGGGGTGTGTGAAAGGGGGGTGGGACAGTTATGGGGGAGGTTGAGCGGAGGTAGCCGTTGTGTCGCCAGCAGCGCCAGTAGTCCGGAGGCTACAATCTCCGGTAGCCCAGCGAGCCTGCTGCGCCAGTCGCCTGTGGGTCCGTTGCTCCTGCCGCTCAGAGTTAGCCGCAGAGCCAGTTACTCCTGTAGTCCGGGGATACGGCCCCGGTAGCCACAGTGCGCGCCGCTCCTGTTGCCCGTGTGTCTGCAGCATCAGCAGTCGCCTCCTATCTCCTCTCCTCTCACAGTCCAGCCTCCTCTTCACTTGCCCTTTGTGAATGCCCCTAGCTCTGCCTGTACTGTGATCTATCTATATACCTGCATGCTTGCACTTGTTAGGGTATGATCACTGTATTGTTTGTTCTCTTTATATAACTCTGCATGTGAACTGGCCTTGTGGCCCTTTGCTTGTGCTCGGACTGTGTGGTGACTTTGTGATCCACCATGAGCTTGCTTTGCTTTGCTTCTTCTCTTGACTGGTCTTGTGACCATTGCTTGTTCTGGCTATCCCCCACTTCGCCTATGGGGGTGTGTCAAACATATATGCCTAGTTATATCTAGGCTTAGTTTATGTGTTTATAGTTGTCTAGGCTATAGTGGGTTTAGCCTTAGGGGGTACAAAGTTTCTCTCGACATTCTACTTGTACCCCTTCCCCTTTTCCTAGCCAATCATTCTCGCCTAAGATTCTAACAAAGGATTCTAACAAAGATTCCTACTATAAGATTCTTATAGTGCTGAAATAAGTAATTACTGAACGCCCTGTTCATGGAGGAGTAGGAGAGTTTGATTGGTGGTGGTTGCTACAGTAGTTCTGAGCCACATAGTTCTGATTGCTTAAGCAGTTTGTGGTCCCTGGTGATGCCACTTGAACTTCACTAGATGTAAGTTACTGTGAGAATCATGAGAGGAATGAATGAACTAGGAAAGAGGTGGGGTACAAGTAGCAAACACAAAAGTGTTGTACCCTCTAAGGACTACCCCACTACAGCCTAAACAGACTATAGCATATATAAGTTTGACACACCCCCATAGACAAAGTGGGGGAGAACAAGGGGTCACAAGACCAGTCAAGAAGGTAAAGCAAGCTCAGGGTGGATCACAAAGTCACCACGCAGTCTGAGCACAAGCAAAGGGCCAGAAGGCCAGTTCACATGCAGAGTTATATAAAGGAAAGCAAACAATACAGTGAACACAACCTAGCAAGAGTAAGCATGCAGGTATAAGTATATAGAGTAAAGTACAAGCAGAGTCAAGAAGTCAGCAAGTGAGGCACAGTAGGTACAAGGCCTAACACAGTACAGAAACGCTGATGATCACAAGGCTGAAGTGCCTTGGTGAAAACATCAGCAGTGTTGGCCTGAGAGGCCACGTAAGCAAGACGAAGCTGGCCACGCTGCTGTAACTCTCGCGCAAGGAAGTAGCGCAGAGTAATGTGCTTCGTTCTGTGCTCCAATATGTGCTCCTAACACAAGGCCAGCATGGCCTTGTTGTCGACGTACAGAACTGGAGGAGAACGAGGCGCCTCTCCCAAGTCAGTCAGCAGGTAGGTGAGCCAGCGTAGCTCCTGTGCAGCCATGGCCCCAGCGTAGATCTCAGCCTCACAACTGGAGCTGAGAACAGAAGAAGAGCGGGTAGACCGCCAAGAGACAGAACCGGAGCCAAGACTGAAGGTGTAACCCTGTGACGACCGCTGTGTAGCCAAGTCGTCAACCCAGGAGGCATCAGCGTGACCAGTGAGGACAACTCGAGCCCGTCCTCCAAGCACGAGCCCCATGCCCGATGTACTGCACACGTATCGCAACACCCTCTTCGCAGCATCCCAGTGCACCTTTCGGTGCCTGCCGGGAGCCACGTAGCGAGCCAGAAGGCTGAGAGGGTTTGCGAGGTCAGGTTGTGTGCAAGTCATCAGGTACATGAGGCAGCCCACAAGCTCTGGATACGGGCCACTCGGCTCTACGGACTCGTCCGAAGGTGGAGCTGAGAGCGAGTGACCGGTAGGCAGAGGAGTGGACTGTGGCGAGGAGTACGTGAAGCCGAAGCGCTGAAGGACCTGTCAGAATATTATGTTTCTCTAGTCTGCAGTGGGGTACTCTATAGTGAGTACAGCCCTGTTAGGGTTTGCTATATGTATCCCAATGTTTGCTAGTGATCATTCATTTCCTATTTTCTCACATGGTATAGAGCTGGTTCGAATTTTTCCTAAGGGCCCACCACTAAACTTTTTTTTCCTCACCTGCCCGAAGCGCCCTTCGCGCTCGGCCTGCCCTACCCTTTCGCGACCCCTTAGCGGCCTGCCCTGCCCCTTAGCGGCCCCTTCGCGGCCCCGTCACAGCCCCGTCGCGGCCCCGCCCCGGCCCTGCCCCGTAGCCTGTCGCGGCCCCGTCGCGACCCCGTCGCGGTCCCGCCCCGGCCCTGCCCCGTTGCCTGTCGCGGCCCCGTCGCGGCCCCGTAGCGGCCCTGCCCCGGTCCTGCCCCGTCGCCTGTCACGGCCCCGTCGCGGCCCCGTCGAGGCCCCGCCCCGGCCATGCCCCGTCACCTGTCGCGGCTCACCGGGGACCCGCGCACCGCCCCCCCCCCCTCTTTTCCCGTCGCCCATCGCGGCTCCCTCGGGGGCCGCGCGCGGCCCCCCTCAGGTCGCCTCGACAAGCGACGGGAGGGGCGACCTGGGGGGGGGGGGGCGCGCGTCGCCCCTTCTTCCGCCTGTTCTGGCGCCCTGGGAGGCCGCGCGTCGGCCCCCGTCATCCCCCCCCCCCCCCCCCCGTAACCTCCCTACCCGCCATCCCCCCCCGTAGGGTTTGGGGGTGGCGAGTAGGGGGTGGCGGGTGTGTGGACTCCCCTGCTCCTCCTCCTCCTCTGTCTCCCACTGCTGCAGCTGCCGCTGAGGGGGGTGGATGTGTGGGAGCCAAAGGAGTGGTGCTAGGGGGTGGGGTGTGAGTGAACCTAGGGTGCAGCAAGAGGTGTGTGAAAGGGGGGTGGGATAGTTTGGGGAGGTTGAAGGGGGGTGGCCGCTGTGAAGCCCGCAGCTCCAGTCGCCCGTGAGACCGTTGCGCCAGTCGCCCGTGAGCCCGTTGCGCCAGTCGCACGTGAGCCAGTTGCTCCAGTCGCCCGTGAGTCCGTTGCTCCTGCCGCTCAGAGTTAGCCGCGGAGCCAGTTACTCCAGTAGCCCGTGTGCCAGTTGCTCCAGTTGCCAGTGTGCCAGTTGCTCCAGTTGCCCGTGTGCCAGTTGCTCCAGTTGCGCCGTGTGCCAGCAGCTTCAGCTGCCGCCCACTACCTCCTCTCCTCTCATAGTCTCTCCTCCTCCACACTTGCCCTCTGCGATAGCCTCTAGCCTTGCTTACATTTGTGAACTTTAAACTGTTGCTTCTTGTACTTGTGCTCAGAATGTGTGGTGACATTGTGATCCACCCTGAGCTTGCTTTGCTTTGCTTGTTGTGCTGATCATACCCCACTTTGGCTATGGGGGTGTGTCAGAATATTATGTTTCTCTAGTCTGCAGTGGGGTACTCTATAGTGAGTACAGCCCTGTTAGGGTTTGCTATATGTATCCCAATGTTTGCTAGTGATCCACATTCCATTCATTCCTATTTTCTCACAGGACCTGCTGCACCATGTGTGACTGAGTCAAGGTAATGGTGCACTGTGCTCTGTCCCGGGTGATCCGCAAGCCAAGATAGCTTGTCAGCTCACCTAGGTGTGTGCACGTGTGTCTCTTCTGCAGCTCGGACTTTACGTGGGCAAGTGCCTCAGTGTCAGCAGTAGCAAAGACGAGGTCGTCTACGTACACGAGAACGTAGAACGGCGACAGAGTAGTGTCAGTGCGTAAGAACAGAGAAGGGTCAGAAGTGGAAGGAGCAAAACCAAGAGCAGCAAGAGTCGTCCTGAGTGTGTCGTGCCACTCACGAGGTGCCTGGCGGAGACCGTAGACTGGCCGCCGGAGGCTCCACTGGGTACCAGCTGGAAACAACCCAGTAAAGCCAGGTGGGCGGCGCAGCCAGATCTCCTCGTGCAGGCTGCCCTGTAGGAAGGCTGTGCTGAAGTCAAGCGAGTGGAGCTCGTAGTCACGGTGAGCAGCTACGTGCAGCAGTACCCGAAGAGTGGTCATCTTCGGGGTAGGGGAGGAGGTCTGGAAGAAGTCAACTCCTTGTCGCTGACTGAAGCCACGTGCAACGTAACGCGCCTTGAAGACAGGCGAAGACCCTCTATCGCCTCTGCGTAAGAGCGCGGGGTCGGGATGTCGGGATCGCATCCGGGTCTCCCTCAGGGGCAAGCAGCATGGACACGAGATGAGGTATAGAAGCAGCAAAGCACTCAAACTCCTCCTGTCTGTCCTCAAGAACGTCCGTGCCAAGAGCACACTCACCCCCGACGGACGGAGGACAGACAGACACAGACGCGGACTCAGCAACATGGCTAGTGGCAAAGTCTAGGCGACAGGCAGCAGCAAAGTCAACAAGCTCAGCAACGAGAGCAGACGCAGCAGTGGACTCAAACAAAGGGTCAGTGACAGCAGTGGCCAGAAAACTCGTGACAGCTAGACGAGCGGCACGGAGGGAGTCAGACCTAGGGTCCGGACCGGCAGAAAGAGAGGACGCAGGAGGAGAGGGCAGAGGGACACGCTGTGGAGCAGTGGAAGGACGCAGAGTCATAGAGTGAGTGCCAGGGACAGGAGGAGGACGCGGACGCGAAACACGACCAGCGCGAACAGAACGGACAGGCGACGTAGAACGAGACACAAGCGACACAGGACGCGACTCAGGCTCACGACGCTCCGTAAGACCTCTAGTCGGTCCAGAGTAAGGAGAAGGACCAGGCAGTGGAGAGGCCGGCTGTAAC